ATTTTTCCATGTGAAAACTGATGATTTTAAACAGCCACCCAGGCAGGAGACGGCCATGTCTTCACCACATTAGTGCTCAATTAGTGAGAAGTTCTACAGAAACTGCACAGGAATAAATCCATGTTCAAGTAGTAGAACTCGTAACAGTAGTTAGTTAGACTTCTCTTTTTATATGGTACTACAGTACAGCCTGTACTTCATCTGGCAAAGTTATAAAATACTTCAAATCCCTCAACAGTTCTCAGTGGGCTCTACTTCCTGTGTAAATGTGTCACTTTTATGCATGTTTTTGGTTTAGAAAACAAAGAGGAAACCTGTGTTTTTGACAAGTAGTAGAAATTAGGAATTGTACTTCCACTGTAGTATCTGACACAGTACTGAGACACGCCCGTTACTCAGTTGATGATTTGCAGCTCACACTGTGTTTTCCAGTGCGGCGTCAACCTTTGAAACATCACTGTCCAGAATTGTTTTGCTTTTTTTGAAGCTGCAGGTTACACCAGGTGACGCTTGATTTCCATGAAATGAAGTGAAAGACGGTCAATGCCATCTTTCTACATGCTGTGATTCTCTTTCATCCTACACAGTGCTTGGCAATGACTTTTTTTTTTCTTTTGCCAAGTCTGTCCTTTCAAATCTCCTAATGTTGTTGATGCACTCTCACTGTGGAACGACACCCACACAGAAGAGGGAAGAGAGACGCACCACTAAAGTCTATCTTTACACCTAAAAACACACACACACGTGTATATATATATATATATATATATATATATATATATATAAAGCAAAAAATCAGAAACACCCCCCCCTTAAAGAGACGGGGGAAGACTGTATAGATCAGGGGTCCCCAACCCCCGGTCCGCGGACCAGTACCAGTCCATAGGTCATGTGGTACCTAATACCTAATTATCTAATAACTCAGTGACATCACTCTGTGACATCACTCTGTGACATCACTCTGTGACATCACTCAGTGACATCACTCTGTGACATCACTCTTTTCCATTTACACTCCCACCCAGCAGCCTTTCACCACCTGCTCTTCCTCCAACGTGGGGATCACTTTGCTCCAGAATTCCTCTCTCTTTCCTGACTCACATTCAGTTTGCATCACACACACACCTTCATCGTGCAAATACACACACCATGAAGGTGTTAATATTCAGCAGCCTGGACTTTAAGCTTTAAATTATATTCATCTCCTGACAATTTAATTAAATGTACAAAAACGTCTTCACGACATCAACTGACAAAAAAATCCAACTACAACCAAACCCTAATTTAAAGTAAGAAGACACTTAACGGAAAAAAAAAAGTTCATTTAAATGTCAAAAGTACAGCACTGGGTCAAAACAACACGTTCAACTTTTATTAATAGAAACTCAAAAGACTTAAATGTTCAGAAGAAAAAAAAAGATGAAAAAGCTGCTAAAAACCATGATGTAAAGGACGGCCTCCGAGGACCAGAAGAGTTTGAATTCATTTCCTACAGTGACTCCCAGTGAGTCGGGGCTTTTGATTGGCTCGTCAGCTCTGTTTGTGTCGCCAAAACAGATGCTGCCACTTCTGCCGAGTGCAACATTCTGAAGGAGAGTAATTAAAAACATTCAAAGTTCAAAAGACTAAAAAAAAAAGAAGGATAAACACATCCAACACTTATATCCCCGACAGACGGCGCTGATTGTACAGCAGCGCTGAGCTGCCAGCAGAGGCAGTGCTGTGAAATGAATGAAAATACATCTGCCAGGTTATGACTCAAAATTTGACTCAAAATTCAAATTTCATGTTTTCTACAGAGGAAGAGGAGAAGCCGCGCGTCAGATCGATTTCAACACGTCTCGCCCGCTGTGATGTCATTATGACACACACACACACACACACACACATGCTGTGTTGTGTTATTAGACATCAGTTCTAGTCAGAGAGGACAAAAAACCCAATGTGCCTGGGAGGTGATGGGACTCGTCTCTGTCTCTGTCTCTGTCTCTGTCTCTGTCCAGAACCTGCACCAACGACTGTCTGTAAAGTACGAGGCTGGTTCCTGTTCTGTCTGGTTCCTGTTCTGAATTTGCAGATTTTTTTTTTGTCTGACATTTGATGAAATGAACCAGAACAAGCCGTAGTTTATCGTTTTTTAGCCGACCATTTCTGTGTTCGTGTGCGATCTCTAGACAAACCCATCACTGATACGTGTTAGTCTTTGTACGACCGCGGGTCTGTCCACGTGTCAGCTGAGTCTTGTGGTCCAGGTGTAGTTT